TCCCCAGAACTACCGCCACCAGTGTCTTTGTCCCCGCAGTGAGCCGGAGCCACACCCTTCCTGCACAGGAGACCCTCTAATAAACAGCAGGTAGGTCTGGCCCAGGCTCTTATGAGGTCACTTCTTTTTCCCCTGGGTCCTGGTGTGCACGAAACCTTGTGTGCGCCCTCCAAGACTGGAGTTCCTGTTTTCCCCAGTCCTGTGGAATTCCTGCAATCAAACCCCACTGGCCTTTGAAGCAGATGCTCTGGGGGCTCCTGATGCCAGACCCCCAGGCTGGGGAGCCTGACGTGGTGCTCAGAACTTTCACTCGTGTGGGAGAACTTCTGCCATATAACTATTTTCTAGTTTGTGTGTTGCCCACCCGATGGGTATGGGATTTGATTTTATCATCACGATTGCATCCCTCCTACCGTCTTGTTGTGGCTTCTTCTTTGTCTTTGGATGTAGTATATCTTTTTTGATAGCTTCCAGCATTTTTTTATCGATAGTTGTTCAGCAGTTGGTTATGATTTTGGTGTTTTTGTGAGGGGGGTGAGCTCACATCCTTCTACTCTGCCATCTCCTGAGAGTCTCTGTACCCTGAGCACTTTGAGTAATGCCTTCCATGCAGTAGGTACTCAATAAATATTGGTTTAGTGAATGAAAGAATGAATAGATATATCTTCAGAGAAATAAGGATAAGGAAGTTATCTCAGACTTTAAGGCACTGAGGCTGTAACACACTGCAGCATTTAATAGCCTTGGGAGTCTTTTAACTGAGACTCACCCAGAGATGAGACGAAAGTCAACCACTGGAAATGTTCAGAAGTGAGGCCATCACTGACTGTTCCCCAAGTGTGTGACTGTCTTGCCAGATGCTTCCAGAAAGGCTTCAAGTCAAAGGCCACAATACACAGAGTAGCATTGACTACCCGCTTCTGTAAAAATAATGATAATGGTAGTCCTAGCTGCCATGGGCTATGCTACATGCTCTCCATTGGTCAGGCCAACACTGTACTAGGAAGGTTAGGGCCTGTGGGCCAGAGCCAGACAACGGGGCTCTGATGCTTGTCTCCACAACTTTCCCACCTCCTAAAACCTCAGTTTTCCCATCTGTAAAATGGGGCTAGTAACAGCACACCCTTCAGAGAGTCCTTGGTAGATGGAATGAGTTGTTCCATGAAGCAATTGCTCATGTAATGGTAGGTAGTTATTGTTTCTCCGTGGCCTTCTTCATCTGGACCAAACCTACTTCTACCAGAAAGTCTTTCCCTTTTGATGACTCTCTTCAATTATGACAAGCCAACTCTTGAGCTCCTAGGTGGAATCTTGTGATAAGGGAGCTGGACCAGCTGGCTTCCAAAGAGTGCTATTACCACCTCTGCATTTTCTCACCTGAGAAGAGTGCGGCTTCTCCAGTGTTGTGTTGTCTCTTGTTCGTGTTTCCTCTGTACTTCTTGCACAGAGAGGACACTTCTGAGCCGCATTGTTCCTTTGAGAGCTGACCTAACCCTCCTTGCCTGAGCCTACTGTTGAACTCCCTTTAGCCAATCTGGGCACTCAGTTCCTTGTCCCCTGCCTCGCCTGTAAAAAAAAAGTCTCCTTCAGTGTTCTAGGCCCAGTAAATAGTACGAGACAAAGCCTAGCACTAAGACCTGTGATAAATGCAGAGAGAAGCAGGCGAGGCCTGCTGGGCATCCACGCCAAGAGTTTGGGCTCAGCCCTGAGAACAGAACAGAGTCACTCGAGTCAGGAAAGCTGGGATTTCACCTTCTCCTCCTGCGAGACCATCCTTTGATGCCTAGTCTCCTGCTTCACTCAGTTAGATGTCCTGCTACTCAGAATAAATGGGAGAGAACATCAGTGGATCTATATTGTGAAATAAAATATCAATCTATAACTCATCACACTGAGGTAAGCATTTTCCACATTTCCTTTTCTGAAATGAGACTGTCCATGAAAAATAGTAATTACATATGCTGTATTTTCAAGTCACAGAAAGAAGTTTAAGCTTCCGGAAAGCCCTTTTATATCCTGCCCTCTCTCTGTATAAATTAAGGCATAATATCAACTAGAGAAATATTGTCTGTTTTATGTGTAAGGTAAGAAATGTGTCTGAATGTGCAAAGTTTTTAAAAGTAAAGGAGAAAAAAAAAGTCTGTTTCATCAGTAGACAGCAAGCTTCTTCATGGAAATACTTGTCCTTCCATCTGTGTTTGTACAACAGGTTAGAGGGAACACACCCTAACTTCCCTTAGAAGGTACTGATGTTAATGTACCCTCTGAGGGGCTCTTTAAATATAAGAGAAAAGTCTCTGTAATTAAGACTAGGCTGAAAATCTGCCTTCACGGTTTTTGAAGCACAGACACAAGAAAACAAAACAAAACAGAAAAAAACAGTACTTTTAAAAGAAGGCAAAAGAAAGGGTTTAATACATGAGTTCACGCACTTAATCAAGTGAAGGGCTGTCTGCTGGACAAAAGTGAGGATAGACAAAGAACTTTGATTTTTGCAGCCTGAGCGGAGATGGGAGGAACAGTACTGTGGGCTTAAGATCAAACAAAAGGAAAACCGGGATGGCCTCTTTCCATTCCCTAAAGCTGTCTGTTCTTATCCTAAAGGTTATGAAAGGTTTTTTGAGGCTTGCTGAACAAATGGGACCCTGTTCCTTCCTTGGGAAAACTTATTTATACTGTCTCCGTTTTTAGACCTTGTAAAAGCTGGTGAACTCGGTTCTTCCCCATTAGCCTGAATTCTTCCACGCTCAGCAAATAAATATCAACAGGAAAGGGCGTCAGTCATTGATAACCGTGGAAGCAGGGAGCTCACATCAGGCCTTAAGAAGCTGGCGGCACTGCCAGAGGGGAAGACAGGGACACAGTCTCCAGCTCACGTCTATAGAATGACGGGCTTGAAGGGATAAGAGATACCGAAAACGAGGTAAATTTATTCTGAGACGATGAGAACAGCATCATCGTCTCTTCTGACACAACTCACACTGGTCTGGTCTAAGGATTCATTTTCGAGCTGTCAAAGCTTTCAAGCAGAAAATGATTCTCAGTGGCTGAAACTTGATTAAACAAATTTCACTGTGCAAGAAAAAACTGTTACTTTTGAAAGTGCTATGGGGGAAGACATCTCAGGCAGGTAACCAGAAAATAACAGGGTCAGCCAGACCAGGAAGTGCCATCCCCATGCAGGGACCCAGGGAAACAGGTGATGGGACAGCAAGGCTCCCAGCAGGACCCATCCTAGAGAGTCAGCTAAGAAAGTTCTCAAAAGGAGGAATTATCAGAGCAGGAAGTGGTGCCAACCAGATCCACCTGGAGCAAAATGCTAGGTAGTTTGGCCCAGTGACCAAAGCTGTTATAATCTAAGCGACAAAATAAATGTTGATAATATTAAATACCCATAGAATAAGATAAATATCCACAACTTCATACTCATATAAATACATAGTAAAATGAATAAATAAAAGGGGCTGGTGAGAGAAAGGACAGATATTTCGTAAGCAGAATATCTATGAATAAATGTAGAAGGGATAAGACAGACAGAAAATCACCATTAGGCAAACATTACAGTAATAACTGTAGCTGGCAAGAACTACTGATGGACCCTAGAATTAGCAGGTAAAATAATGGTAAAAAACAGGTCTAGTCTCCTTACTAAACAGGTGTTTAGTAGAAACAGGTCAAAGTGCCTTCCCACAAGATTTGTATTAATTACAAGTGGAAAAGGTAGTATCTTTACAGGGAGAAATGTGGAGACACCTTCACCACATGATGAGACTGGACAGCACACTGGCATCTCCACCCGCATGTGACACCCTGAGTAGGGCTCAACATCATTTCTGTGGTATTCTTGCCTAAAAATGCACGACCTCAATCTAATCATGAGAAAACATCGGAGAAACCCAAAGTGAGAGACAGTCTATAAAATACCTGGTCTGAATTCTTCCCAAGTGTCAAGGTCACGAAAGAAACAGACTGAGCAACCATCACACATCAAAGGAGACTGAGGTGGCCTGGACGCTAAGGTAACGTGGAATCCTGGAGTGGATCCTGTGCCCCATTACTAGGGGCTTGGAAATACAAGTTAGTCCTATAGATTAATTAAAGACATGGTACCAATGTCAATGTCCAGTCTTCCGCAGCTGTGCTTGGTTTAGGTAAGGTGTTAGCACAAGGGGAAGCTGGGTGAAGAGAATACGGGAACTCCCTGTGCTACTCACACAGTGATTCTGTGTGTCTAACATTATTACAAAACAAAGGGTTAAAATTGGAGTTAGCTTGGCTTGACTTAGCATCTAGCCAGGACCAGGTTGGGATACATCAATTTTCTAAGGTGAGACCTAAGACCCTGACGGAAACCACTGAGAGAAGGGTCAGAAAAGGATAAAGTGATGTAGACATTAGCCAATCCCATCTCCAAGAAGATCAGGGGAAAATGCTCTCTAAAACGACATCCCCCTGTACCCTTGAAGAATACTGCACTCCTCAATAACCTCTCTTAATTAGATTTTTCAAAACCTAAACAAATATGTCAAACCATTTTGCTTGTTTTGTTCAACAAAGGAAAGTTATGTCCATAAAAGTAAATTTTGAGTCAGATCCAGATCCTGTACCATATAATTCTGAAAAACCTTAAAATACAAAGAGAAACAAAAGTCAGATACTTTTCTGAATCATGGTACCCATTTGATAAACAGAAATAATTCTTATAAATATTACTAGTGTTCATCTCTTGCCAGATATGTAAATATCTGTGGTGCGATGCGTCAAGAGAAAAGTAATTATAAACTTCAGGAAAGGAGATAAAATGCTTTACGCTCCAAACCTGGCTTTCCGCTATAAAACCTAGGCTTTTTAGCACCATTTCGGATCGTTCTGGAATAGCTGTGTCCTACCAGATCTCAACGAGCGCTCTGTATCCCTGGAACCATGTTGAAGCAAAGAGCACAACATCGCGCTCGAAGGCGCCTGAGGCACCACTGCACCGCGACGGTGTCCATGCCTACCTCCCACTGCGCTGCAGCGAGACGTCATCTCCCAGAGCACCAGGGCCATGGAGTAGACATCTGTCTGCTTGAAGGACTCGACATTCTCCAGATTCATCCTGGACTCTAGGACCTCTGGAGCCATGTATCTCGCCGTTCCCACCTAAAGCAAAAAGAGACATTGAGGCCCATCACTGAATTCCAGCTGCATACCTATTTTCAAAATATAGCTTCTGTTTGTCCCCTACACAGGCAGTGGACCTTTAAAAAGCACAATGCTTTTTAAAGTAACGAGACCTGCACAGAAAGGCACAGCTTATGTAATTATTTTTTTGAATAAATGAATAAATAAATGAATTAAAAAAATAAAATTTTTTAATGAATATAAAGAAAAAAATGCCACAATAAGGAAATGCCAAACCCCAGAGCTGCTTTGTTTAGCCCCGTGACATATGTCATCATATCATGTATACAATAACATGCTTGCAGAGAACCTGAGCGACCACATCAGTGATACTTTTGATGTTGATTTTTGTTTTTGCAAATTAAATATTTTTTCACCCTTGTAACTCCAAGATTTGTGGTGAAATAATAATTGCCATTAACTTTTTGTCACTTGAGAATTGTCTTAATCTTCTTTGTTTACCCCATGGCACATTCTAGCGTGCCGAGCATGTCGTATAATTACATAAAATCTCTGCTAAAATGAATTGTATGAAAGTATTTCCATTAAGAGCCCAAACCTGGTCATTTTATAATGTTGATTTTTTTTTTTTTTTTTTTTTTTTTTTTTT